AGGCTGGAGTGAGCTGTGATTGTGCCACCATACTTCAACCTGGGTAACAGAATGAGACCCTGTCTCAAAAATAAAGATAAAATGAAATAAAATAAAAATTGAGCAGGAAGTACAGAGAATTTCCATATGTCCCCCTCCCCATGCACAGTTTCCTATAGTATTAACATCTTGCACTAGTGTGGTACATTTGTTACAATCAATAAACCAATACTGACACATTGTTATTGTATCAAAGTTCAACTAAGTTTTGACAAGGGTGCCGAGACCATTCAATGAAGGAAAGAGTTTTTTCAATAAATGAAGTTGGAACAACTGTATAGTCACATACAAAATAATGATTTTGGACCCCTACCTCATGCCAGATACAAAAATTAATTAACGCAATAGTGCTGTAAATATCTTAGAAGAAACACAGGAATAAATCTTGCATTAGGCAATGGATTCCTAGTTATTACACCAAAAACACAGGCAACATAAGAAAAAAATAGATACACTGAACTCCATAAGAATTAAAAACTTTTGTGCTTCAAAGGATACTATGAAGAAAGTAAAAAGACAATCCATAGCGGCCGGGCACGGTGGCTCATGCCTATAATCCCAGCACTTTGGGAGGCCGAGGCAGGCGGATCACAAGGTCAGGAGGTCGAGACCATGGTGAAATCCCGTCTCTACTAAAAATACAAAAAATTAGCTGGGCGTGGTGATGGGCACCTGTAGTCCCAGCTACTCAGGAGGCTGAGGCTGGAGAATGGTGTGAACCCAGGAGGCGAAGCTTGCAGTGAGCCGAGATCGCGCCACTGTACTCCAGCCTGGGGGACACAGCGAGACTCCGTCTCAAAAAAAAAAAAAAAGACAATCCATAGAATGGGAGAACATTTTTGCAAATCATTTATCTAAGGCGCTTGTATACAGAATTTATAAAGAACTCCTATGCTCCACAAGAAAAAAGCAAATAACCCAATGTTTTACATGGGCAAAGAATCTGAATAGACATTTGTCCAAAGAAGAGATACAAATGGCCAAAAAGCACATGAAAAGATGCTCAACATCATTAGCCATCAGGGAAATGTCAAACCCACAATGAGATGCTACCTCACATCTACTGCAAGGCCTAAAACAACAATAACAGAAAACAAACCGACAGGAAAAGAAGTGTGAGGATGTGGAGAAATGGGAATCCTCAAACATTGGCTGGTGGAAATGTAAAACAGGGCAGCTGCCTTGGAAAACAGTTTGGTGGTTCATCAGAAGGTTAAAAATGCAGTTACCATATGATCTGGCAATTCCATTCTTAGTTATAAACCCGAGAGAACTGAAAACATGTTCACACAAACACTTGTAAGTGAATGTTCATAGCAGCGCTACCGATCATAGCCAAAAAAGTGTAAACACAAATGTTTATCAACTAATGAATGAATAAGCACCATGTGACATAGCCATAAAATGAATATTATTCAGTCATTGCAAGAAATGCTACAATATGGATGACCTTAGCAAACCTTACACAAAGGGAAAGAAGCTGGACACAAAAGGTGACACACTGTAGGATTCCATTTATATAAAGTGTCAAGAATAATCAGATCCATGAAGTAGATCAGTGGTTGCTGAGGACTGGTAGGAGGGGAAATGGGGAGTGCTATGGGACTTCTTTTTGGGGTGATAAGAATATCTGAACAAAGATTATGGCCGGGCGCGGTGGCTCACGCCTGTAATCCCAGCACTTTGGGAGGCCAAGGCGGGCGGATCACGAGGTCAGGAGATCGAGACCATCCTGGCTAACACAGTGAAACCCCGTCTCTACTAAAAATACAAAAAACTAGCTGGGCGAGGTGGCGGCGCCTGTAGTCCCAGCTACTCGGAGGCTGAGGCAGGAGAATGGCGTGAACCCGGGAGGCGGAGCTTGCAGTGAGCCGAGATCGCGCCACTGCACTCCAGCCTAGGCGACAAAGCGAGACTCCGTCTCAAAAAATAAAAAAAAAAAAACAAAGATTGTGGGGATGGTTATATAACTGTGAATACCCGAAAAAAAAAACCGTTGACTTGCCACTTTAAAATGACTTTGTAGCATGTGAATTAAATCTCAGCAAAGTTGTTACATTAAAAGAAAAAGCTAAAGTAAAAACAGTATCTTTCAAGAATTGCATTGCAATCACATTAGACCACGTGATGAAATCCTCAAAAGCGTGGGGCAGGTGGTAAATCCTGGCCAAGGCTCCTCGGGCCGGGCGGGCTGGGAGTGCTGCATCGCGCTGAAGGCGCTGAGGTTGCAGCGGATGCATTCCGGGCCAGTGATATGATGTGGACAGGAAAAGCCTTTTGCTCTGGGAAAAATGGAGGATTGAAACCTCTTCATGTCTTTTTCCTAGGTCCTGATTTGGGAAGACCAAAACAGGGACTTCTACAGTAGTGACTTAATCAGCAGATGCTGGGCGGTCGCCTCCGCACATGGCCTGGTGGGCGGGACGCCTTGCCTTGTCACGCGGGGTGGGTGGGCCTGTGCCTGGCCTCTCTCCAGCTGTGGCTGACAGTACTTATTCAGCCCAGGCTTCCAGGCCCTCCTGGGCCCTCCTATCTATTGAAGGAAATGGGAGATGACTGGGCAATGGAAAAGCCTTTGGAGTCAGAGGTAAATCCGTGACTTGACTTATTGCTGTGAGACCCTGGACAGCCGGATCTAGAGCTCTTGTTCTAGCACTGGACCTGGGAATCCCCAGAACCGGGCCCCTTACCCACACCATTGCCTCTAATCCACAAACCCATGAGGTAGGAGTGGCTTTCTTTCCCAGACCCGCCCTCTCCCTGCGTCCTAGAGGCACTGGGCAAACTCGGTGCCCGCTGCCATCCAGGCAGTCGGTCTCAACTTGGTTCTGTTGTTTTGACAGTTGTCATTTTTGCCGTGACCCTTGTAATGTAATAGGTTTGTTTTCTTTTTTCCTTTTTTTCCCCCCTATTTTTTTTCTCTCCTTCTCTGTCTCCTGCCTTCCTTTCACCCTCCAAAAGAAGTCTATTAGAGTTGGCAGCAAAATTTAAAGAAAGTGGTTTAAAACTCAGAGAGCCAGGGATGGGCGTAGTGGCTCACGCCTGTAATTCCAGCAGTTTGGGAGGCTGAGGCGGGTGGATCACCTGAGGTCAGGAGTTCAAGAGCAGCCTGGTCAACACTGAAACTCTGTCTCTACTAAAAATATAAAAATTAGCCGGGCATGGTGGCGCGTGCGTGTAATCCTAGCTACTCAGGAGGCTGAGGCAGGAGAGTCACTTGAACCCGGGAGGTGGAGATTGCAGTGAGTGGAGGTCAGGCCATTGCACTCCAGCCTGGGCGACAGAGAGAGTCTCAAAAAAATGAAAACAAAACAGAACAAGTCAGAGAGTCAGAAAATAGGAATTTTAGAGTAAGGAGCTGGGGCAATTACATGCTCTGGTAGCGTTTGAGAATCTGGGGGCCCCAAAGCTTCCCCCCGGGCATTTCTTGGGTACTGTGTGCCTCTCTGTGGGGGCAGTGCTTCAAAGCCCCCAGCTCAGATCTTTGCCAGCAGTGTGGTGAGTAAGACGAGAAAGGCGCACAGCAGTGTGCGTGCCAGGCCCCATATGCTTTTTAAAAGGGACTTTCTGCAGCTAGGGACACTCCGATAAGAGAGTGGAAACTGGTTTCCTCCCTGTGGTAGGGAGATTTTTCTTACCCTTTTGAACTGTTTCTTTTTTTAACCATGAGGAGGCTACTTTCCATCTAAAATGTAATAATGTAAAAACCACACGGGGGTGAATGGTCTAGAGCCGAGAAGTGCCTGCCTCCGGAGGCTGCAGGCTCGGGCCCCTGGAGCAGAGCTGCTGCCCACTCTGTGGGAGGCCTCTTCTGGGTGCATCTTCATGGATTATAAGAAGCACATTACTTTGACCCCAAAGGTAATTATCTTGACTCACTAACTACCTGAATCAGCATATCTGGCTTGGAATCACACAGCTATGACTCCAAACCTGCTCTTTCTTAAAAGAGCAAAGGTGTTTGGTTGGTTGGTTGTTTTACCATTTACAGACATTCAAAGGACTCTTAAGGCAATGTTAAGACTTGTTAACTGGCTGGGTGTGGTGGCTCATGCCTGTAATCCCAGCACTTTGGGAGGCCAAGGTTGGAGGAGCGTTGCTTGAGCCCAGAAGTTGGTGACCAACCTGGGCCATCCTAGTGAGACTACCTTTGTTTCTACTAAAAAAGAAAAGAAAAGAAAAAAAAAAATTAGCCAGGCGTGGTGGCGCACATCTGTAGTCCAAGCTACTCAGGATGGTGAATTGGGAACTTAAGCCCAGGAGTTCAAGGCTGCAGTGAGCTATGACTGTGCCACTGCACTCCAGCCTGGGCAACAGAGTGAGGCCCTGTCTAAAAGAAAAGAAAAAAAAAAAAAGACTTGCTGATATGGTTTGGCTGTGTCCCCAACCAAATCTCATCTTGAGTTGTATCTCCCACAACTCCCACGTGTCATGGGAGGAGCCCGGTGGGAGGTGACGGAATTGTAGGGGCGGGTCTTTCCTGCACTGTTCTCGCGGTAGTGAATGAGTCTCGTGAGATCTGATGGTTTTAAAAACGGGAGTTTTCCTGCGCAAGCTCTCTTTGCCTGCCGCCATGCATGTAAGACATGACTCGCCGCTCTCGCCTTCTGCCATGGTTGTGAGGCCTCCCCAGCGATGTGGAACTGGAAGTCTTTAAACCTTTTTCCTGTATAAATTACCCAGTCTCGGGTACGTCTTTATCAGCAGTATGAAAATGGACTAATCCACTTGTTACACATTTTGAGCCATGGAAAGTGCTCAATTTGGAGTACTTGAAAATTGCCACCCTTGGAGTACTTGAAAATTTTTGTATTTTTAGTAGGGACAGTTTCAGTGTTGACCAGGCTGCTCTTGAACTCCTGACCTCAGGTGATCAACCCGCCTCAGCCTCCCAAACTGCTGGAATTACAGGCGTGAGCCACGACGCCCAGCCCTGGCTCTCTGAGTTTTAAACCACTTTCTTTAAATTTTGCTGCCAACTCTGTTAGACTTCTTTTGGAGGGTGAAAGGAAGGCAGGAGACAGAGAAGGAGAGAAAAAAAAATGGGGGGGGGGGGGGAAGAAAAAAGGAAAAAAGAAAACAAACCTATTATATTACAAGGGTAATGTATACCACAATATTTGAATGTTTTCCGTATGCCAAACAGTAGCCACACAGTGTCTTATTTTCTTCTAACAACACCTCTATAAGGTAAGTACTATTATTACTCCCACAGAGACCAATTAGGGAAGTGACTTATTCAAAGTCAAAGAGTTAGGAAACTATTGGAGCCAGGATCTGAGGCGAGGTCTGGTCAAACTCCAGAGCCCGAGCACATAATCCTTACACTACTGTGAACTGTGGGCAAGGAAATACGAGTTCACACATCACCAAATCCAGTGCCAAATTAAGCAGATCAAAAACATAATAGTCACTTGGAGGATAACCACAATGAGGTAGCCCTATCTATTAGGCACCTACTAGATGCTGGGCATCCTGCTGGGCACATCCATCCCCATGGCCTCTCTGTGCACTGACATCTGACGTCTTTCTCAGAGAGGAAGAAACTGAAGCTCACGGGGTGAAGTGACTTTTGCCCTAGGCCAGATAGCCCATAGGCACAGAAAGGAGATAAGACTCAGGGTCACATGACCTCAAAGCACCCTCTCTTGCCACTTCTATTCTTGCTCCTGTTCTCCACTCTTAAGTGATCTGGATGGACCCCTGCATGAGCAGATAAAGAGACCACCCTGAAGAGTGTTCATTCCTTCCCCACTGCAGTACTGCCATGGCCCTGCTTGGCCCGAGATGGGGTGTGGTTTGGAGCAAACGTGTTCTTCCCCACCCTTCCCAAACCAGAAGCAGGGACCATACTGACATAGAAGGGGAGGACGAGGACAGTGAGTCGCTGGGGCGCTTTCTCTTACCTCTGCCCTGTTTCCTGGTTCCTCCAGGAACCTCACTGACGGCAAGCTTTGTGCTGGCTTCCATTGCGAAGTGGAGGCTCCTGGCTGGGTGTTGCCTGGACACTTTGTTCCTGGTGGGCACTGTGCACTCAGAAGAAGGCTGGGCCAAAATGTGTCTGCACTCAAGTTTCCAGTGGTATTTCATCAATAAGGAAGATCACTGAGGCTGTGACTCCAGACAGCGTTGCGAAAACAACTAGGAAATGAAAAAAGTAGCTGGATCAAAGGTTACAAAGGGTTGGCTACATTGGCTCACACTTGTAATCCCAGCACTTTGGGAGGCTGAAGTGGAGGATCACTTGAGGCCAGGAGTTTGAGACTAGCCTGGGCAACACAGCGAGATTCCATCTCTCCAAAAAAAAAAAAAGAAAAGAAAAGAAAAATTAACAAAACTATATTTTAAAAAATGCAATCAAGGTATTGACTGGGGGGAAAGAAAGGAGGAAAGGAAGAAAGGAAGGAGGGAGGGAGGGAGGGAGGCAGGAAGGGAGGGAGCGAGGGAGGGAGAAAGAAAGAAAGAAAAAGGGTTACAGAGAACCCTGCTTGACTGAAGGAGCTTTATACACTGCCATTTTACCTACACACTGATAGAAGAAAATGCTTCAAGGAGACCTCAGTTGCCCAGATAACTTCCTTTAATTAATAAATTTCAAAAAATTCCCTGAATGGTCTAGGTAATACGTTTGTCCAATCATGACCACAAGGCGTCTGAAGCAATGGAGTTCTGGTCCAGAGCTGTCAGTGCCAAGGAGATTCCCAGTGTCCACAGCTGCGGCTCCCAAGCTCACTGCTGGTCTTTCTCTGGACTCTCTTCCTGGGCAATAACTTGAAAGAAGTTGAAGTTTGTTATCTCCGTGACTCTACCTGGAGCTCCAGCCTTACACATCCCAATCAGGATGGGGCATCTCCCTGGCTCGACCAGCCACAGGGGCTCCAAATCTTCCTGACGTTTCATCTCCCACTCCCATGGAACGTTCTCATACACGGTGTTTTGTTATGGGCACTGTTGCTGTACCACTCACCCAGGCCTAGCCTCCTGCCTCTCTAACAGCCAATGTGACCAAGTCCTAGCAGTCCTGTCTCTGAAGGTCCTCCCTATCTGGCATCTCCCCTTCATTTTCCCAGTTACTCCAGTTACTGTCCTACTCAAGGAGCCCCCTCCCATCTGGGCTACTACAACCACATGGCCCATCCCTTGCTTCAATCATAGAATTCTTTCTTCACATCAAAGCATATTCAGACACCCGATAATGGTAACAAAAGCAAGCTATCCTGGAAGGAGGAAGGAATCAGGAGGCAGAGGGATGAAATACCTATAGCCTAAATCTCACCTTCTGAGTGAGGTGGACTCCTGCCTCATCTCTTCCCTGGAATTCCTGCGGTTCCCTGAAATACCTATGGCCTATATCTCACCTTCTGAGTGAGGTAGACTCCTGCCTCATCTCTTCCCTGGACTTCCTGCGGTTCCCTGAATACACACCATGAAGTTTCCATTTTTGAGATGGATTATTTCTTCTGCTCTGATTTCCTTTCTTGTCTGCCCAGCACATGGTTAAAGCATGAGATGTGAAACCAGGAAGAACCAGGTCTGAATCTTAGCTCCACCAGTGGTAGCTCCAAACCTTGGTCCTTTCTGAGCCTGCTTCTTCAACCCTAAGGTAAACGTAATATCAGTACTTACGTTATACACCTGTTCACGGCGTTAAATAAGGCTATATTTAAGTTGCTTAGCAGAGACATGGTAAGCACTCAATAAATGTTCAGACATCATAATTTTCCTCACCCTTCATGAGTCAACTTGACAGCACCTCCTCCACGAAGCTTTCCCCGATCTCCTCCAGCTGTGTCCGCAGTGAAATCTACCACACTGCATTTATAGTTAGGCACCATTCTGCCTCCCTCCTCACACTGTGACCTTCTTAAGGGCAGAGGTTATCTTGTTCATCTTCGGTTCTCTGCTATTCAGTAGCATCCATCACTTAGCAGAGCTCAGTGTTCACTGAATTAATTCACAAAAAAGGGAGGAAGTATGATCATTCATTAATGAAATGCACTGAACGTGTGCTGTGTGACAGACAATATTCTGGCTGCTGGGGCTACATCTGTGAATAAACAGAGGGAGTTCTTGCCCTCATGGAGCTCCCATTCTAATGAGGAGGATACACTCAATAAACAACTACATGGATAGTATACTAGAGAATGCAAAGTGCTTTGGGAAAAAATAAACCAGATAAGGGGTAACAAGGCAAGAAGCAGTTGCTGCCTTTTTTTTTTTTTTTTTTTTTTTTTTTTTTTTTTTTTTTTTTTTTTTTGGAGATGGAGTCTGACGTTGTCACCCAGGCTGGAGTGTGATGGTGCAATCTCAGCTCACTCCAACCTTTGCCTCAGGTTCGAGTGATTCTCTGGCCTCAGCCTCCCAAGTAGCTGGGACTGCAGGTGCCCGCCACTATACCCGGCTAATTTTTTTGGTATTTTTATTAGAGATGGGGTTTTGCCATGTTGGCCAGGCTGGTCTCGAACTCCTGACCTCAGGTGATCCACCTTCCTTGGCCTCCCAAAGTGCTGGGGTTACAGGCGTGAACCACTGCACCTGACCTGGTTGCTGTTTATGTTAGGTCAGGGAAGGCCTCACAGAAAAGGTGACGTCTGAACAGAGAGCTGAAGAAAGTGAGGGAGAAGGCGCATGGACATTAGAGGGTGGGAAGATAGGGAAGAGCACAACCCAAATCAAGGGAGAAGCCAAGTGTAGAAGCCCTGAGGGGAGAGCGTGCTGCATGGGAGGCCAGCCAGCCAGCGGGCACCCTGGCTGGTGTGCTAGGAGAATGAGGTCGGAGAGGCAGTGGGGTGGGGTCCTGTGGGGTGTGGACCGTGGGTCATGTGGGGCTCCACCATTCCTTCTTGAAGATGCGCATGATTACTGCTTGATTACCTTCCTGGACATCTTGAAAATCCTGTCCTCCTACCTATGTCAAAATGCAGCAGAAAGGAAAAGCCCTAGTCTTACCAGTCTTAACGAGTACAAATGAAGTTGTTGTACATTAATATCTAAATCTCAATGGTTTGAGTTCTCACCTGTGCAAAGGTAGAAAGCCCCAGTTCCAGGAAAATCCTTTTCCCCCTAGTATTTCTAGGAATCCTAGGGGCATGTACATGGTTGTATGATCCTACACCAGTTGCCGGGGTTGGTCAAGTCATGCCTTGGCAGCTTCAGGCTCCAGTGGTCCCACAGGCACACCACAGCAGGGCGCTCCACTCACCTAACCAGCCCCTAGGTCATCCAGAGGATTTATCATTATTCTGAGACTCCACGGGGCCTTGCCTGTGGATCCAGAAGGGTACCACTGTGCCTCAATACAAGACACTACTCCTGGGAGGTGAGAACATGCCCTCCGGGTTCAGATGAGAGGGGCTGTTCCACAGCAACATTTTTTGAACTCCAGCGTTACAGTGTCTATGGACACAGCTTTTAGCTCATACCTATAGCCCTTCTCTCCCCAGGGAGCCAACTTACCTTTAAGTTGGACAGCAGCTTGTCTCAGAAGCTGGGCTTGCTGTCAGACTGGTCCTTCTCTTATGGCAGATTTTCTCTTGAGGCTCCCATAGTCTCTGAAAGTGGGCCTCTGCCTCGGCCACTCCAGCACATCAGGCCTGTCAGTAGTCAAAGCCAAGAGTGACAAAGTTCCCGACTTTCTCCCAGGATTCCCAGCGCCAATAAAAATCAGCGAATGTGATGCCTGAGGAGGATTATTGCCTCACTATGTACCAGTACTGCTGAATCCCATCTCCCACTCAGCTGGGACCCGCTGCAGTTCTTCTGCAGGATATTAGCTTTATCAACATCCCAAGGTTTTCCATTTCTTCTTCGAGGTGTGATTACATTGAGCAGTAACAGCAAAACCTGAAAGAGAATGGATACAGGTGTTCATTTCAGATGGTACAAGTTTAACAAGTCCAAGAGCAACTTAAGGTTCAACACAAAACTTCTAAGAATATATTTAAATCTTAGTACTTCATCCAGAAAACACCACAGCATAACTGAGAGCACTGGAGGCAGAAATAAATTAGTTTAGATCCATGGATTGCTTGCTATTTACTGTGTGACTCTGGGTAGCCATTTACTTTAAACCTATTTTTCCCACTTATAAAAAGGTAATGATGACCACTTGTTGGAAAACTTGAGGGTAATACTTGTAAAGGTCAGAGTAAGACCCAACACCTAGGACCCAGCACCTGGTAGGCACAAAGTCAGTTCTGCTTCCTTTCCCTTTCTGTAGAGAAATGCACAGGATATTCCTTATATGCCACTTATGCTATAGGATTGACATAGGTTTGGTCCCTTATGCTATTGATTAGGTTTTGCTCTAAAAAGCTTTAAAAAAGAAAATTCATTACTACAAGATAAATTCGATTCCAAATTAATCTTGTAGTAACGCTAAGGTATGATTATGCTGCAATTCTAGTGTAGTTGGTTCTTATTTCATATTGAACATCATTATAGTCTCAATAAACCCTTAGCAGGCTTTGACTATCTCATAGCTTTCTCTCTGATTTCCTCAATAAAAACAAAATAGCAACAGTTAGGAAAAATCAGAAAATGAAAGCCAAGGAATGAAAAATCTGAATAAAAGCTATTGCATACTCCACATAGAAAAGATCTAGCTGAGGCCGGGCACGGCGGCTCACGCCTGTAATCCCAGCACTTTGGGAGGCCGAGGCGGGCGGATCACCTGAGGTCAGGAGTTCGAGACCAGCCTGACCAATATGGAGAAATCCCGTCTCTACTAAAAATACAAAATTAGCCAGGTGTGGTGGCGCATGCCTGTAATCCCAGCTACTCGGGAGGCTGAGGCAGCAGAATTGCTTGAACCCGGGAGGCGGAGGTTGCGGTGAGCCGAGATTGCGCCATTGCACTCCAGCCTGGGCAACAAGAGTGAAACTCCATCTCAAAAAAAAGAAAAGAAAAGATCTGGCTGATACAGTGGTCAAGAAGGCACACGGGATCTGGAATCAGGAGACCTGAGCTTGAATTCTGGCTCAGCCACTTAGTAGATGGGAGGCATGTTGGTCTCTCTGGGCCATTTTCCTCATCTAAGATGCAAGTATCTCACAGAATTATAATTGATGTTAAATGACAAGTGCTATATGTTAGTTCAGTTCAATAAGCCGAATAGAGACAATCAGACAGACCTGGTCCCTGCCCCTGGGAGCTCACAGTCTCTTTGACCTGGGCCCTACTTTTTCCCTGATGTGGTTTTTAGTAGAGGCCAGCTTGGAATTGCTACTCATGACTTCATTGATTGACTTCCAGGAGAGCCCTTCGAAACACCAGTGCTCACTGACCTAACCTCCTCTGCTGGTCTTACATAGAACTGGTCTGGGGAACTCACTCTATTTCCATGCTATCTCTAGCCAAAATACTTAACTTCTTGCACAAACATCATAAAATAAAGAATTACAAATAAATCACTCCCCCTGCAAACTCAAAGACCAGGCTCATCCCCTCTCCTGACTGTGTGGCAATATCATCCGTTGCCCGAAAGAAATCCTCATACTGGAGACCAAACTCCAGGTCCCTTTATTGCCAATCCTGTGCCTTTACATGCCATCATAATAAAATTTACAAAGTGTTTTCCCTAAAGCCTTGCCCACTGCTACCCAGTCAAGTAGAACCAAAGGATATCTAGCTGTCTGTCCTTGGGACTGACACGCCCTGAATCTCTCCTCTCGCATTTTTAAGCAGTTATGCCACAGAAAGAACCTTTGGGCCCAGGACCCTGGGTTTTGTAAGAATCAGTCTTTGGGAGAACAGACCCAAACCCTCTTCTTCTAACGTGAGTGGTGTTTTTGCTAGTTGCTTCTTCAAACTTTGTAATTCGAGTCCTTCTTTAAAGTAACAAAAATGCTTTTAAAGTCTTCTGCTGAATCTCCTACCAAACAATAACCTTCAAGTTTTGGTGACACCATGACTTTTATGTGTTGAGCTTGCTTAAAACAAGGCACACAGGTAATCCTGCGACACACTCCACTTTCTTCAAAAACTGATGAACGAGCTTTGCGCAGTGGCAGTATCATAGACAATGAGGTGTACTCAAGGAGTGATTATTGCTAACTGAAAAACTGATGAACATAGGAAGTGCATGTCTGTAGCTTAATAGTACAGTCAGCCAACTTGAGACCTTGGCTCAGGTATTTTTGCAACATTTCTAGCACATGACAACACTGGGTAATCCTACGTCTTAGAACTTATCAAACATCTCTCTAATCGTTTAATATACAAGTAATAGACATCTACATCACTTGAAACTACACTCTACCTGCTTCAGGAGGAATCTTACGTCAAGAGGACTTCTGCTGCTGTGATAGGGGAAGATCACAGAGACAGTATGGAGTTTGATTCAGTAATTTCTGCCTGTCTGAGAGGAACAGTACACAGGCAGATGGGGAAGAGTTGGTTTATAGACAGTGGTTACCAATGCCTTCCAAAAAACTACAGTACTTTACTAGTAGTCTCTCTCTACCCACCAGGACAATCTCCGCAGAAACTCTGCAGTTAGAAGGCAATAGGATGATATATTTAAAGTGATGAAAGAAAAACCTGTAAACCAAGATTGTTTTTTTTTTTTTTTTGAGACAGGGTCTCCCTCTGTCACCCAGGATAGAGTACAGTGGTGTGATTTCAGCCCACTGCAGCTTCAACCTTCTGTAGTCAAGGGATCCTCCCACCTCAGCCTCCTGAGCAGCTGGGACTACAGGCATGAGCCACCACATTCAGCTCATTTTTCTACTTTTTTGTAAAAATGGAGTTTTGCCATGTTGCCCAGGCTGGTCTCGAACTCCTGAGCTCAAGCGATCAGCTTGTCTCAGGCTCCCAGAGTGCTGGGATTACAGGTGTGAGCCACCGCGCCCAGCCAAGAATTCTGTATCTGGTAAAACTATCCTTCAAAATCAAGGGAGAAACTAAGATATCCCTAAATAAACAAAAGCTGAAGGAATTAATTACCACTAGACCTACCCTGCAAGAAATGTTAAAGGGAGTCCTTCCTTCAGGTTGTAAGGAAACAACACTAGACAGTAACTCAACGACTATATAAAAATATACATTTTTCCTTTCAAGGTAAACACATAGACAAATATAAAAACCAGTATTATTGCAATTTTGGTTTGTAACTCCCCTAATTATTTTACAGGACCTAAAATAGAAAAGCATAAAAAACTATAAATCTTTGCTAGTGGATACACAATATATAAAGATGTAATTTGTGACAGCAATAACATAAAGAAGAGATGGAGCTGTAAAGGACGTCTTTCATATGCAATTAAAGTTAGCAGTTTAAAACAGATTGTTATAACAGTAGGATGTTTTAGTAAGTCTCACGGTAACACAAAGGAAATAGCTACAGAATATACACAAAAGGAAGTGAGAAGGGAACTAAACATGCCACTATAAAAAATCAACTGAACTCACTGGGCGCAGTGGTTCACACCTGTAATCCCAGCACTTCAGGAGGTTGAGGCGGGCGATCACAAGGTCAGGAGTTCGAGACCAGCCTGGCCAATATGGTGAAACAAAAATTAGCCAGGCGGGCGTGGTGGTGCGTGCCTGTAGTCCCAGCTACTCAGGAGGCTAAGGCAGAGGAATTGCTTGAACCTGGGAGGCAGAGGTTGCAGTGAGCCGAGATTGCACCACTGCACTCCAGCCTGGGTGACACAGTGAGACTCCATCTCAAAAAAAAAAAAAAAAAAGAAAAAAGAAAAAATCAACTGAACTCAAAGAAAGACAGTAAGGGAGTAAATGAGGGACAAAAAAGAGCCTATAAGAGATACAGAAAACAACAAAATGGCCAATAGTAAGTCCTTCCCCATCAGTAATTACTTTAAATGTAAATTAACTCCCAAATCAAGACAGATTGACAGAATGAATTAAAAAAAAAAAGAATCCATCTATACACTGTCTACAAGAGACTCACTTTAGATCTAAGCGCACACAGGTTGACAAAGGACAGAAAGATATTCCATGCAAATAGTGATGAAGAGAGTAGGGGTGGCTATACTAATATCAGATAAAATAGACTTTAAGTCAAAAACCAGTACAAAAGACAAAGAACATTATATATTTTAAAAAGGGTCAATTCACCAATTAGATATAACAATTACATATATACACACACACACACACACACACACACACCCCAAACATAACAGCTCCTAACTATATGAACAAACACTGACAGAACTGAAGGGAGAAATAGATGACTCTGTAACAGTAGGCTTCAACATCCCACTTTCAATAACTGATAGAAAAGCAAGAGACAAGATCAAAAAAGAAACAGAGGCTGGGCGCTGTGGCTCACACTTGTAATCTCAGCACTGTGGGAGGCTAAGACGGGTAGATTGCTTGAGTCTAGGAGTTCAAGATCAGCCTGGGCAACATGGTAAAACCACCCCCATCTCTACTAAAAATACAAAAAATTAGGCAGGCACAGTGGCGCACGCCTATAGTCCCAGCTACTTGAAAGGCTAAGGCAGGAGAATCACTTGAGCCTGGGAGGCGGAGGTTGCAGTGAGCCAAGATCGCACCACTTCACTCCACTCTGGGTGACAGAAGTGAAACCGTCTCAAAAAGAGGACTTGAACAACATGATAGGCCATTTGGACCTAACAGATACACAAAAAGCATACCACCCAACAATAAGCAGAATACACATATTCCTCAAGAGTATATGGAACATTCTCTGGGACAGGCTATTAGGCCACAAGTAAGTCTTAAAACATTTGAAAAGACTGAAATTATATAAAGTATCTTTCTAATCACAACGGAATAAAATTAGAAATCCATAGCAGAAAGAAAACTGTAAAATCTACAAATACGTGGAAATCAAATGGTACATTCTCAAACAACCAATGGGTCAAGGAAGAAGTCACAAGGGAAATTAGAAAATAACTTGAGACAAATGAAGATAAAAACACCAAAGCTTATGGGATGAAGCAAAAGCAATGCTGAAAGAAATTTGTATCTACAAATGCTCAAATTTTAAGATCTCAAATCAGCAACCTAATTTTATATCTTAAAGAACAAGAACAAACCAAACACAAAGCAAGCAAAAGGAAATAAATAATAAAGATTAGAGCAGAGATAAACATAACAGAGAATACAAAAAAGAGGGAAAAAAAACCCAAAGAAACCAAGAGTTGGTTCTTCAAAAAGATCAACGAAATTGACCAACTTTTAGCTAGGTGAAGAAAAAGAGAAGACTCAAATGGGGGGACATTATGACCCATTTTACAGAAACAAAAAGGATTATAAAACAGTACTATGAACAACTGTAAGCCATCAAATTGGATAACCTAGACAAAACAGACAAATTAAATTCCTGGAAACACAACCTACCAACTCTGAATCATGAAAAAATAAAAATCTGAACAGATCTGTAACTAGTAAGGAAACTCCCAATGAACAAAAGTTCAGGACCAGATGGTCTTATTGGTGAGCTCCACCAAACATTTAAAAAACAACAAATACCAATCTTCCTCATACTTCAAAAAATTGAAGAGAAACACTTTCAAACTCCAAACTATGAAGTCAGTATTACCCTGATACCAAAACCAAAGGCACTAAAACTCAAGACCAATATCCCTAATAAATATGTTGCAAAAATCCTCAACAAAATACTAGCAAACAAAATTCAAGAGCACACTAAAATAATTATACACCATGACCATGAAGGATTTAT